AACTCTAGTGCTATTCCACTAAAAGCCTGGAACTGCACTCTCAATTTATATAGCGTATTTACAAAGCTCTGATTAGCTCTAGTCCATGACTCAATATATTAGTGTATCATCCTCATAGGATATCCATAATCGATGAATAATGAATCTACGCATACATGAATCATACCCCCAATGTACCGGCAAGCATACCTTTACATAATGTCAGAATGTCTCCCTTTAGTACATTAAAGGATACAAGTCAAGCATACGGGTTCATCATCTATCTCAGGATTAAGATGACAACATATAATTCGTCAAAAGTGAATTGTTTTATTCAAACAGAACTATTAATTAAAACAATTCAACTTTGGTCCGATCCAATATAGATTTCACCATTAGAAACTATATCAATGTCTCCACCCATGGAGTCCCGCCTCCGACGACCAAGACGAGCCGTCTCCGTTAGGAAGTAGACAACATAACAATCTTAATATGACTAAAGCGCCCAACTTTATTCTCTCGATTGTGGATCATAAGATTTAGACTATCATTTTTAGATTCTTGTCTTCTGCATGTTCTTCACATTACATGCATGACCTAAAGATTTAGAATGACAGTCTTAGACTTTCAGTTTGCTTATCATATATTTAACTATTATGAATATAAAGAGGACAATACATAGATATATGAAATAAACAAATCTTTATTAATAGTCAAAATGTCTCAAAGAATATTGTTACATTTATTCCTAAGGGCATAAACGCTAACAAGAGCAACGGGCCATTGCATATTTTAGTCAGGCTCTTTCCGCACAAGCACGCGGCAAATCAGTTTATGAGAGAGAATTGATGGTCATAGTCCTAGCCATTCAAAAATGGCGGCCATATCTCTTGGGACGTCATTTCGTGATCCGCACTGACCAGCGTAGCCTCAAGTACCTGTTGGAGCAACGCCTAGTGTCTACAGAACACTAGAAGTGGTTAACCAAGCTGATGGGTTACGACTTGGAAATCCAATATAAACCGGGATCGGAAAATAGGGATGTGGACGCTCTCTCCCGCCTCGTTAGTACCCTGGACCTGAGTGCCTTAACGGTGGCCCCAATTGTCGACACCAGTGAACTGCACCAACAAGTATTGCTTGATGAAAAATTAGCTAAGGTATGGTCCGACTTACAACATGATGTTTTTCCATTGCACAAGGCATGTTATTATACGAAAAGGTAGAATGGTGGTACCTCGGGAGTTTCCGTTTATTAAAACACTGTTGCATTCCTACCATGATGGTGTCATGGGAGGACACTCGGGCGTATTGAAGACATACCGGCGGATTGCTGCGGAATGGTACTGGCTTGGTATGAAGGACACCACTGCTTACGTGGCTGCGTGCACACAGCACTGTAAGACTTCTACACTGGCCCCTAGTGGTCTCCTACAACCCTTACCTATCCCAGAACATGTGTGGGAGGACCTTTCGATAGACTTTATTGAGGGCTTACCACGCTTGGAGGGATACGACACCATCTTGGTGGCCGTGGATCAACTCAGCAAGTATGGACATTTCCTTGCATTGAAACATCCTTTTTCCGCAGAGATCGTGGCCAGACTCTTCATTCGGGAAGTAGTTCGCCTCCATGGGGTGCCTTGTACTATCGTGTCGGATCGTGATTGCATTTTCCTTGTCATTTTTGGACCGAGCTCCACAACCATATGGGTACTACTTTATCACGAAGCATGGCCTACCATCCCCAATCCGACGACCAAACCGAGGTGGTCAATAGGTGCGTGGAAAGGTACTTGTGTTGCTTCACTTCGGACAAGCCCGACCAGTGGAACAAATGGTTAGCTTGGTCGGAGTACTGGCACAACACCTCTTTTCATACAGCCACGCGCACCACTCCCTTTCAGGCAGTGTACGGCCGCGCTCCCCCTCCATTGTTGCGTTATGGCATGGGCTCTCCTCTGGTGGATTCCGTTGAGCAGCACCTCATGGACCGCGATGCAATGCTAGACCTTCTCAAGTTCCATCTTCTTTGCGCCAAGCAGAAAATGAAGTCTGTGCCCGATAACAAGCGCCGGAATGTCTAGTTCACCGTGGGGGACTCAATGTATCTCAAGAATTTGCCCCTATCGTCAGGTGAGTTTGGCGCGCAGGCACAATGAGAAGTTAAGTCCCCGTTTTTATGGCCCCTTTGAGATCAGTGGCTGTGTGGGGCCAGTTTCATACCGCCTCAACCTTCCTGCGGAGGCTGCTATCCACCCGGTGTTTCATGTCTCTCAACTACGCTGTGCTATTGGGCAAGTGCAGCTTGTCTCCGCCTTGCCACCACACCTCACAAAGGACTTGGAGTTGCGGGCAGAACCAGCTGCCCTGCTTGGGGTGTGACAGCGAGTATATGAGGGACGCTTGGACCCAAAGGTCTTGATATGTTGGACTAATTTACCTGCCCATGAGGACACTTGGGAGTCCTATGAGGCAATAGACCGACAGTACCCTCACTTTCACCTTGAGGACAAGGTGCGTCTTTCCGACAGGGGTAATGATAAGCCTCCCCTACAATTCACTTATGTACAGAAAAGACTGTGAGAAGGATCATGCGGGGACAGGGAAATAGATGAAAGCTGCAGCACAGGGGAACACTTCTCTGGACAGGTGGGCTGAGTTGGCACGAGAGGATGAGCTGGGTTGAGAGAGGGAAAGGTATGTAGTTAGTTAGTTGCATTGGAGTCTGTAACTAGGAGAATGTGATTGAATAAATAGGGAGAGAGGACAAGTGAGAGGATGATCAGAAAAGAGTGAAGTTGAAGTTAGTGAGGGAGTGCACGGGGTCACTCGAATACCCCCATATCCTGTAATTCTTTCCCAATTTTCTGCCAATTAATTCCCTTGATTCAGTGAACATACTCATTCGTGTGTAGAAGTGTGCTTGTAATATGTTGATAGTATGTGAGCTTATCACCCGCACCTCATCAAATTCAACATTGAGGCCAACAAGGAACTTGTAAATACGGCTGTCTTCCACAGTCTTCTTGTGGTGGTCGCAATCATCAGTAGACTTCGACTCGTACGTGTTGAAGAGATCAAGGTCTTGCCACAATCTTTTCAACGAATTAAAGTATTTGATGATGGAATCATCTGGTCTCAATCTTTCCAGATGTATATTCGTGGGCAAGGGATGATTGGCTACATTACTGGAGACAAGAAGGCTCCTAAATTGGATGATCCGGCGTATGCCACGTGGGCTGCTGAAAACTCTATCGTATGGTAGTGATTTGGACAGAGTGGGTGCTAAGACTAAATGGAGTTTTCATCGGGATGGCAGTAGCAGGACTTGGAGAGGCTTCGGACGTGACTTCAGACATGGCTATGGCAAAGAAGAATGGAAGAAGAGGGGACTTTAGGGTTTTTAGAGGTTCATCTCTGATACCAACTTAGAAGGAATGGAGAATATTTCTTTCTCTATTAACAAATGAATGAGTACAAGGTTCCTTTTAAGTAGAGGAATTACACTAAAAAAGGAAAGAAATAAATAAAACAGGAAACAATAAGACAGAATATTGACAGCTGCCTATTTCCTAATTTACATCATTGACTATCTATGTTTACATTAGGCACACAACCTAGCATATCTCTAGGATCACGGCAGAATCTTTAATTGACTGATTTCCGACATATAAATATATTGTTTTTTACTTTTTTTTCTTTTTCTTTTTTTTCACTCTATTTGTTCACTATGGTCTTGTACTACACCACTTGAATCTTAATTTTTTTTAACTTCATTGATTTCGCGCTTTATCGTTTTTTTCTTTCTTTTTTAACTATATTTTTCTACCATTATATTTACAAATGGTGCTTTACCCTTTTTCCTTTTCTTTTCTTTCTTCTTTTTGACTTCACATGTATTGTCTATAGTAATTCTTTTACCTCCAATATTCTCCTAACAATTGTCGTTCTGTTCCTCTTTTATTTTATCTCCATTTGAACTCTATTGCTCTTTCTCATAATTTGTTTAAACCTCCGATCTCGACTTTCTCACCATAGTAATCTCTTTAACTTTTATTAATTATGACTAATATTGCAGTTAGTTTCTTCCATTCCTTCCATGGTCAAATGTTTGTGGGCGTGGGTATGCGTCTATTTTAACCAAAAAATAAAATCAAAATTTTACTTAGTTACTGAAATATATAATTTTGTCTCTTAATTGATAAACAGTTATTTTCAGAATGAATCTAGAAAATTTTTTCTCCTTTAACTCAATTTAAAGAACGGGGTATTACCTTTCTTTCCTTCAGCTTTCCTTTTTTTTTTTTTTTCTTTTTTTTTTTTTTCCTTTCTTACTTTTTGGCACCATTTGTCTACCATAGGCACTTACACTAATATTCTTCTAATTGTTCTTTTTTTGTTCCTCTCTGTCTCTCTCTTAAATTTCTTAAACCTCAAATCAAAACTTTCTCATGATAATAATATCCTTGCTTGTGCTGTTTTTTTTTTTACTTTCTTTCCTTTCTAATTTGGTCCTTTCTTTCCTTCACTTTGACTACTATTTATGTACTCTTTAATTTTCTTAGTAAACTTTTTTTTTCTATTTTTGTTTGTATTCTACATTATAAAAACTTTAATTACAACTCTACGTGTGTGTCGCACGTAGTTAAACTAGTTGATAAACAAATCATGATACAAAGAAAAGCGGATAAGAAATATTTCATATTTCCTTGAAATAGATATTCTGGACCCTTGATAAATTCTTCTCTCCAGTAATGATTAGTTGAAATTGGGAAACCGCTAATTCTTATCATTGCTTATCATTAACGAGAATAAGTCCTTTTAGACTTAATTGCTTGCTTGCAAATTATTTCTATGCTATTCATACTGGGGGAAAAAACAATCCTTAGGAGGTGATCTTTTTTTCTTGATGTCTTTTGTAATATACGCTTGTTTATGAATCTCATTGAAAAAGTGAGAGATATGGCTTTGGATTTACAAGAAAGGATTCAAAGAAACAAGTTTTTGTTCGCGTGCAGGCTGGCATAAGTGGAGGCGGCAGTTTGCCTTCGCATGTTGATAAGTTTTTCGAGGTTAGATTTTCATGCATATTTAGCTAGCTGTAATTGATTTTTCTACTTTCCATCCCTTGTGTCTTACTTGTGTGCATGTAGGCAATTGAAGTGAAAGTGCAGAATGGATACGGATTAACAGAGTCTTCCCCAGTTGTTTCTGCTCGACTACCAACTTGTAATGTAGGAATTGCTATCCATTTTAAGTTTGAAAAATATACTTTTTTGGACTTCCTACTTAATTGTTATAATACCAGAAAAGTATTATACATTTCTGAAAAATTTTATTTACTACCAATATGTTAATTCAAAATCATATGCACCTTAAGATCAATCAAAGTATCTATCTCCAGATTACCGCATTCACATTTCTAGTTAGACTCTTCTAAGACTCATGCTTTGTTCGGTTTGCCTTTTGCTCGTTCACATTTTACTCTGCATGGAGTATGCATCATATAACATTGTCACAGACGTAAAACTTTCTGAAGGTTCTTGGCTCAGTTGGTCACCCCATCCGGCATACTGAATTCAAAGTTGTAGATTCTGAAACTGGAGAAGTTCTACCACCTGGAGAAAAGGGAATTGTAAAAGTAAGGGGGCCACAAGTGATGAAGGGTTACTTTAAGGTATTTCTATTTATATTTCTAGATTATCGGTAAAACTTTTAATTGCTGAGATAATGGATAGCACTATATCCATCTAGCCATGTTGACATATTGCAAATACCAAATAGAAGTTATTAAAGTTCATCTTGTACACGCTTATTTATTCTTCCAATATTTTACATCGGACTCAAAGTTTCACCTAAGTGTTCAGTAATTTGTCGGGGGTTGGGAATTTGAAGAAGAATTTGGCTTTGTTGGGAAACTGGCTTTGGAGGTTTCCTTTGGAACAAAATTCTTTGTGGGCTAAAGTCATCAGGAGTAAATATGGGCTGAAACCAAATGGTTGGGACTCCAACCTAGTAACTAGGGAATCTTTTAGAAACCCATGGAAATTCATCTCTCAGAGGCTGGTTGCTTTCCTTCAAAGCACAAAATTGAGAGTTGGGCATGGGTCTAAAATTTTGTTTTGGAGAGACAAATGGTGTGAGAATGAGTCTTTGGAAATTTTGTTCCCCGTCTATTTAGAATTTCAGATTTTCTTAATGCTTCTGTTGCACAAATACGTTCACAATCTGATAATGGTGATCCGGATTGGAATCTTGGTTTTAGAAGAGCTCTCAATGATAGGGAAGCAGAGGATTTGTATTCTCTTCTTCAATTGAGACTCTTCCCTATTCAGCCTTCTAGTCTTGATCAAAGAGTTTGGTTGTGTGATCCTAAGGGTTTTTTGTGTCGTTCTTTTTTCTCTTCTTTAGTGGATAGTCGTGAAAATTTGAATTTTGATTATTTTCAATTCATCTAGAGATCTTGTGTCCCCCATAGAATTAAAGTCTTCGCTTGATTGGTTGCGCTTGGGAAATTGAATACTTGTGATTTGGTGCAGAAGAGAAACCCCCATAGGGTTCTATCCCCTTCTTGGTGTGTTCTTTGCAGAGGCAGTGATGAATCCATTGACCATCTACTGTTACACTGTTCAGTGGCAAGGTGATAAGCCCCCCATCCGTTTTACTTATGCTCGACAGCGATTCCACGGGAAGGAACCTGCAAGCGCAAGAGAGCAGGATGGGACAGAGTGCAGGGTAATGGATCCTCAGAAGAAGAAGGATGGGGCAGAGCTGGCAATTGGGAGGGATGGGGCTATGAAAAGTTAGTTAGTCAATTGGGCATCGGGGTCAGTGTCGAGATCCTGAAAAGTAGGCATTGGGTAGTTTCAGGAGGAATAAAGAGAGGAGAGAAGAGAGAGGGGGGACTTTTGATTGCTAAGTACATTCTGTAGTAAGAATCGGGGAGTGCAAGGGGTCACTCGAACACCCCCATATATGTCATTTTGTGTAACCATTTTCTGCCATTAATTCCAATACTGCATTTTCCTTTTCCTTTCACCGTGTGGACTTGAGTTCAATTCATTTTGATCCTATCATTTGGTATCAAAACACCGTTCCGGGAATGACGAAGCGAACCAACGACCTAGAGAAGCACAAAGGCGAAGGGGTGACGGAAGACTTCCAAAAGGAGTTTGAGCTTGTACGGGAGGATTTGAAGAAGATTTCAAGGCTCGAGCAAGGAATGGAATTCTTGCTCACGAGATTTGATGATTTGCTCAGACAAAGGACATCGGCGGAGTCGGAGCCAGTAGATCAATCGGCGCCGATGTAGGAAGGCAGGAGGGACGGTGGAACGTGAGCAGAGATTCGCACCCGCCGAGTGGAGATGCCGACATTTGATGGTGAAAATCTAGACAGATGGATTTATCGAGCTTAGAGGTATTTTTCTTTAAACAAATTGACTGAAATTGAGAAGCTGGAGGTGTCGGTGGTGAGCTTTGAGGGAGAGGCGTTGGCTTGGTTCCAATGGGAGGACAGTCGGCGCGCAATTCGGAACTGGACAGAGCTGGAGTTGTTGCTCGAGCGTTTCCGATCAGCACAGGAGGGAAGCTTTTGCAAAAAAATTTTGTCGTTACGGCAGGAAACGACGGTCAGGGAGTTCTGTAAGCAATTCGAAATCCTGGCGGCGCCGCTAACGGAAATCTCGGACCAGGTGTTGGAAAGCACCTTCGTGAACGAACTGAGGCTTGAGATCCAAGCGGAAATCAGGATGATGAGGCCTACAGGACTGGGTCGAATCATGGAGCTCGCCCAGCGGGTGGAGGACCGTAACCTGCAGGTACGCACAAGGCAACCTAGGGGGAAGAAACACAACCAACAGCTCTCGTGGGCCGACTGGTGGCCCAGGCCCATTTGGATTAGTGTTGGGAGTGTCGAACACCGCAATAGGGAGGCCAAATAACCTCGTGGAGAAGGAAATGAGTGCGAGGGGAGCAGCGACGCAGTATAGGAGGTTGACCGACGCTAAGCTTCAGGTGAAACGGGAAAAGGGGCTGTGTTATCGGTGTGACGGAAAATAATCCGTCGTTCACCGTTGCCCAAACCAGGAATTACAGGTGTTGATTGTTCGAGAGGAGGAGGACCGGGAAGAGTGCTCTGAGGAAGGCGAGGTAACAACCGCAGAAGAGGAGATGGTGGAGCTTTCCCTCAATTTGGTGGTGGGACTCACGGCGCCGGAGACCATGAAGCTCCAAGGGCAGGTTGGCGGTTGTGAGGTAATCATTTTGATAGATAGTGGGGCTACCCACAATTTCATTTCGTATGACTTCGTTAGGAAGCTAGGGTTGCTGGTGGACCGAACTGGGCGGTATGGAGTGGTCATGGGAACGGGTTTGTCGGTCGAGGGCGAGGGTATTTGTCGGGGAATAGCGGTCACGATGCAAGAAATTGAGGTTATGGAAGATTTCTTACCCTTAGAACTAGGTAGTTCGGATTTGATCTTGGGAATTCAGTGGTTGGAGACATTAGGGGTGATCACGGTGAATTGGAAGACACTACTCATGAAATTTAACTTGGATGGTCGGTCGGTGACGTTAAGGGGGGATCCTGGACTGAATAGGGCTCCGGTCACCCTCAAAGCCCTTATGAGAGCTCTCAAGCATGAAGGACAGGGAATTTGGGTGGAACTAAATAGTGTGGGAATGAGCTCGCAAGAAGAGGAGCGAGATGTGCCTGAAGGGCTACGGGAAGTGTTACAGAGGCATGTTACGATTTTTAAAGCGCCGGTTGGACTGCCGCCGGAGAGAACAAAGACCACACGATACTGCTGAAGGTAGGAACGTCTCCGATCATCGTGAGACCTTACCGTTACCCCCAGGTATAGAAAACAGAGATTGAGAAATTGGTGGGTGAAATGCTGGTGGCTGGCATTATTCAGGCTAGTGTTAGTCCCTATTCTAGCCCGGTTTTGTTGGTTAAAAAAAAAGATAGGAGTTGGCGGTTCTGTGTAGACTACCGCGCATTGAATAAAGAGACGGTGCCGGATCGGTTTTCGATTCCGGTGATTGATGAATTACTAGATGAGCTCCACGGCGCCACAATATTTTCTAAGATCGACCTCAAGTCCGGCTACCATCAAATCCGTGTAAGGCCAGAGGATGTGCTGAAAACAGCGTTTTGCACCCACGACGGGCGTTACAAGTTCCTCGTTATGCCCTTCGGGCTCACTAACGCACCGGCCACTTTCCAATCATTAATGAACGACGTGTTGCGAGCCTACCTCCGCAAATTTGTTCTCGTCTTTTTCAACGACATACTCGTTTATAGTCGGTCTTGGGTTGAGCATGCAAAACACTTCGACCAAGTGTTGCCAGTGCAGTGGCAGCACCAACTCTTCGCGAATGCCAAGAAATGTTGTTTTGGGCAGCGTTCCATTGAGTATCTCGGCCACATTGTGTCCGGTGAAGGAGTTGCGGCCGATCCAGCAAAGATTGCGGCCATGATGGACTAGCCACAGCCGAAGAGTTTACGGGAGTTGTGGGGTTTCCTTGGGTTGACCGGTTACTACCTGAAATTTGTGGCAGGGTATGGCCAAATTGCGAGACCTTTGACCGACTTGTTACGGAAGGACAATTTCAGGTGGAATGAGGAAGCCGAGCAGGCCTTTGTCAGATTGCAGCGGGCAATGACAAGTGTGCCTGTCCTGGGTGGCGGCGACCCCAGAAAAGTTGGCGGCCAGGTTGTTTTAGCCACAGCCGAAGAGTTTACGGGAGTTGTGGGGTTTCCTTGGGTTGACCGGTTACTACCTGAAATTTGTGGCAGGGTATGGCCAAATTGCGAGACCTTTGACCGACTTGTTACGGAAGGACAATTTCAGGTGGAATGAGGAAGCCGAGCAGGCCTTTGTCAGATTGCAGCGGGCAATGACAAGTGTGCCTGTCCTAGCTCTTCCGGATTTTATGAAACCCTTTTTGTTGGAGGCAGATGCTTCGGGATTCGGTGTGGGCACGGTTCTAATGCAGGAACACTGGCCGATTGCCTACTATATCCAAGTGTTGTCGGCGCAAGCACAAAGCAAGTCGGTGTACGAATGGGAGCTCATGGCCATCATTTTGGCGGTACAGAAGTGGCGACCATATTTGCTGGGACGCAATTTTGTGATCCGAACTGACCAACAGAGTCTCAAGTATTTGCTAGAGCAACGCTTAGTACACCCCGAGTCCCAAAAATGGTTAACCAAACTGATGGGATATGACTTTGAGATTCAGTACCGTCCTAGGTCCGAAAATCGCGCGGCCGACGCTTTATCCCGCCTGTCTTCTAGTCCGGTTTTGCAAGCCTTGGCCGCCTCCTCCATTGTCAATACCAATGAGATCCACCAGCAGGTGTTGCAGGATGAAAGGTTAGCTAAAATCTGGTCGGATTTACATCGTGATGCCACGACTCATCCGGGGTTTTCTGTAGGTCAAGGCAGGTTGTTGCATCGGGGCCGAATGGTGGTGGCTCGGGGCTCCCCTGTTGTGACTAAACTCCTGCATGCTTACCATAATGGGGTGGTTGGGGGACATTCGGGTGCTTTGCGAACGTACCGCCGCCTGGCAGCGGATTGGTATTGGGTGGGCATGAAACGGGACGTGACTGTGCATGTCACAGAGTGTGAAGTCTGTCAGCATTGTAAGTCATCCACACTCGCCCCTGGAGGATTGTTGCAACCCTTGCCCATTCCCGAGCAGGTATGGGATGATGTGTCCATGGATTTTATCGAAGGGTTGCCACGGTCAGACGGGTTCGATACGATATTTGTTGTGGTGGACCAACTCAGCAAATACAGCCACTTTGTTGCACTTAAACACCCTTTCTCGGCTGAGACGGTGGCTAAGCATTTCATTTGGGAGGTGGTTCGTTTGCACGGTGTACCGCGCACCATCGTTTCGGATAGGGATCGCATTTTCCTTAGTCACTTTTGGTCCGAGCTCCACTCTTAGATGGGCACCATAGAAGATTAGGTCAAGGAGCTTGAGAACAAGGTTGTTCTCGAAGGGGGGGTAATGTTAGGCCTCCTATTACGTTGATCTAATAGGAGGGGGAGTGTTGAAGAAGGAGATATTCGGTATCAATTATACCGAATATTAGGGATAATTAGGTTGATCATAGAAGATTAGGTCAAGGAGCTTGATTGAAGAAGATTAGGAAACTAGCAATTAGGATTGAGTCTGTACAGCTATTAACATTCCATATTTATTAGTTTTTCCTAGAATTGCATTTCTCTGTAACTAGTATTTAAGTGTACATTGTAAACCTAACAATATATGGAAAACATATTATTTTCTTCTCCATATTGGTTTATACTTCTTCCTTTGTCTTAATGTTGGACTAGAATCCAGAAGCTACAAAGCAAGTAGTAGATGAGGATGGTTGGTTGGACACTGGTGATATAGGTTGGATTGCTCCTCAACATTCTAGAGGACGGAGTCGACGGTGTGGAGGAGTGATTGTCCTCGAAGGACGTGCTAAGGATACCATAGTTCTTTCAACAGGTACACTAGAGGCTAAATAAGTTTGACAACTTTTCCAAATATATCCATCTTACAGCTTTTCAAATTTCATAGTTTTGCCTCAATGGGTTTCTTATCTTTTTCATCTTTTATACTTGTGAAGGTTTGACTTTCTTTCATTTGGCTTAGGTTATTTATACTTTTCGTAGGCTAAGTGACCTTTTCTGTGTGACATTAGATCCTTTGGTTCAGGCTTTCACTTGAATATATCATACTTATTTACGCTTTCAGTAGATTTGAGATTCAGAAAAACTATATGATTTCTAACCATGCAGTTACTGTGCGCGTGCTTTCTAGTTCATCTAATTTGTTAATTTGTTTCCCTTTTCAACCCGGTTTGTTGTGTTATTCTTTTATTGTATAACTAAATTAGTTCGCCAAACTTAGGTGAAAATGTTGAACCCGTAGAGCTTGAAGAAGCTGCGTTGAGAAGTAGTGTAATTCAACAGATTGTTGTCATTGGCCAGGTGAAGATCCGCTGCTTTCATTTCACCTGTTTGCTTTGGATTTTTTTTTTTTCCCCTTGAGCCGAATGTGTATAGCTTTTACCTTTTAGGAATTGTACTGATCATAACTTCCACATTCTATTAACTCGTGCAGGATCAGCGACGTCTTGGAGCTATAATTGTTCCTAACAAAGAGGAGGTTTTACCATTAGCAAAAGAATTTTCTATTATAGATGGTAATGCCACTGACCTAAGCAAGGATAAGTTGACAACCCTGTTGTATGAAGAACTACGGAAGTGGTATAACACCTCAACTCTAATTTGTATCTGCAAATGGCAAATAATTTGCATTTATGGAAAATCTTTCGTTCTTTTAATCAAGATTTTCAATTCATTTCCTTCGTCTTTGCCTTTTTTCCTATATCAGTCCATTCCAGTTTTGCTGCATCGCTGTTTGATTTGCCAGTTTGGCTGCATCGCTTTTTGACTTGGTTATCATGGTTGTTGTCTTCTGAATTTCAAAATTCACCTCATATCTGTTTTTACACATGGTCGCTACAGCATTTCCTTAGAGGGAGATTAGCATGATTGAATTATTGTACAAGAAGTTTTTTCAGTAATTAGTTCGATGTTTTTTTCTTTTCCTTCTTTCGCATGCAGGACTTCAGAGTGTTCATTTCAAATCGGGCCTATCCTTGTTGTGGACGAACTCTTTACAGTAATCTTTTGATGCTTCCAATCCATAGAATTGCCTATTAGTCTATGAACTTGTCTCTGTTAGCTGATGAAACGCTTCCTTTGCAGATTGACAGCGGTTTAATGACTCCGACCATGAAAATTCGGAGGGACAAAGTCATGGATCTGTACAAGGAACAAATAGACAATCTCTACAAGTAAAACAAATAATACACAAAACTCTGCAAGAAAACATCCCTGCCATAAACTTTTTCATGTAGTCTACTGCTTATTGTGTGAAGCCGTTACACAAATGCTTTCTTCAAGCCTATCTGCTACGCGGGTTTCGTGTCTGCCTTGAGTTCTCGCCTGTATTTTTCGGTCATTCGAATAATGCTTGCTCAAGGCAATTGTGCTTCTCACAAATAAGGTTTGTTCAAGTAATCGGCTGTATTTGCTTCATATAAATAATGAAAATACAATGTTTATCATGCAATATTTATGCGTACATAGATATATTGTTATAATAAATATAAACGAAAAACAAGTTTCAATACTACTAGTACGAAATATTTGACCTGATAATCTATGATGACAGAAGCTTTCACTGCTGGTTTCAAGTATTATCCATTTTTAGATCTCTTTCCTTTTCTTTCTTTTTTTTAATTTTTTTAATTTTTCCTATTTTTCTTGTACCTCCTTAGGGCCACAACTTGGTTTCGGCATAAAATGCATAATGAATTTACCTCTTGCCAAGCCAGTTTCATGATTGGAATTAATGTATTATACCTATTGTATTTTCTGTCCAATAATCTAATTTATATGATATTCGTGTTAAGTCGGACCAAAACCGAACGGGTAGCCCAAAAAAGAAAAAACATATTTGATGTTTGATTTTCAGATTGATAAGTTGAAACAAAGATTAACGCAAGATGTAGGAAGTGACTGACAATTTCCTTACGTAAAATGTTTAGCACTTGCACAAAAATTGAATTTCTATTCAAATCGTTGCACAAAAAAGTGAAATTTTATTCCATCTTAATTGGGTTCTTTTTTGGATATTTATTTAAAATATTAATAACAATGCTTTTACTTTTGATTTAAGTAAATCAATACAAAACTCTTTAAAGGAAAAACCTACGAGGTAAATCATTGATTTATCTTGCTATTTCATTAATTTATCTTGTTAAATCATTAATTTACAGGCATTAAATTAAAAGAAACCGAGTTATGGATAAAATAAGTGTTCGACATCAAGCATCATCTCTCAGCTCTCTCTCAATATCCTTTTTTTTTTTTTTCGACCTTTTAAGATGTCAATTTCTAAATTGAAATTTGAAGCCAAGGCTTCAGTTCATTAATAACAGAGAACTAGCAAGCTCATTCCAAGCATGTCTTTAGAAAGAGCTCTAGTTTCCAAGACCTCTTTTAAGGGAAAAAAATAATAATAATTCCTAAAATTCACAAAAAGGAGCCTCAATAGACTTTAGGACATTGATCAGCGATAGGGTTAATCTTTATTGAATGTATAATTTCCATACATTTGGATTTTTTTTTTTAAAGTAATCTAACACACGAGATGATATAATCATTTCAATATAACAACTACGTCCACACCCAACTAAAGATGTAAAATGGACCTACCCAACCCTATTTGACCTGTTTAAATTAGACTAAATCGTGCTTTGTGCTGTGTTTAGGCCAGTTTATCTATTTATTATGCAGTGTTGGGCCTAATCTATTTATACTACATAGTAAAATTTCAATACAGCAACATTTTTAGAATATTATGAATATAGCAAAATATTTAAAATGGAACAAAATATTGGTCTTTTTTGCCCTTTTCTATCACCTCATTACTTTTTGCTCCGGTTAGTATCGAATTTGGTGGAAAATGATACCCAATAAAAAGTGCATTCCACGTTTTGTGGTTACTGTTTTTGTTTTCTTTTTGTATAACAGTATGGATATTGATTTCAAAATTTAAAAAGTCTCGTGTTGTTTTCCATCTTCTAAATATTGTGCACATCTTCAAATAACAACCATGTTCGTTTGATTAAAATAGCCTGGAGGACTGGATTTTAAAGATTTGGCTATTTCGGGTTAAAAGTGCAAAAACTGAAACCTACCGTGCTTGTTTTTGTAAACTGCTCCAACGACAGATCCTAACTTTCATGACAGTGTTCGTATTAAAATTTAAGATAATGCAAGAAGGTTTAGAAACAACAAAATCAACTTTTATGGGCAAAATCGTCAAAATAGCTGAAATTGGGTCAAAATTGTGAACTTTATTTTCTGCAGAAAAGCGACAATTTTTACTTGCTGGAATCAGTATGAGCTTAGGAAGGGCTAGAAACTGTTTTGATACTTTAAAGAATGAAAAAATTGTTAAGGACTAAAATGCTAAAAATCTGTTAAAACCGGGTCAATTTTACAAAGTTTGAAAATTTGTAGTTTTGCAACCGCTAAATGGCTTAATTTCAAAATTAAAACGAGGACTATAATGAATATTTATAAAATAGATATTTTTATGCAATTATTTTTAAAAGTGAATTTAAATCCATCTTATACTTTAAAAATGCAAAATAGCCTTAGACAATTTTAGGACCCAATCCGTGAAACGGGAATCATAAATTAAACCAATGGTAAAATAGTTATTTTACTAATTTAAGGGTAAAATGGTAAAACCACTCGTTAAGTCAGTTTACACTAAGTATTAAGACGGAATTAGGACCCTCACTGAGTACGTATGAGGAAGATATGAAATGGGCCTATTGGGCCCAAAAGTTTAATAGTGAGAAATAGCAGAGAATACACTAATATGAAAAGCTTAAGAAAGTATATAGGCCAATTTTTAGTTATCAAATTTAATAGGCCATAATTTTTTAATTTCTAAATTTACCCTTTCTTTTTTTTCTTTTTCTTTCGATCCTCTCTGTCTCTCTCTCTCTTAGCTGTACACGCAACTCTCTCTCTCTCTCTCTCTCTCTCTCTCTCTCTCTCTCTCTTAACTGTACACGTAGCTCTCTCTCAATCTCTCTCTCCCTCTCTAGCTTCACGCAGCTCTTCACTGGCGCCGATCCTCTGTAACTGCGCTTGGATTTTCTCTCTCGTCGGTGGATCGACGGTGGATCGTCAGTGGATCAATTTTTCATCGTTCAGTCATTCTCTTTCTTGTTGGATTTGCTCTTCTCCAGTCGTCTTTGAGCAGCTGTTCCGGTGATTTTTACCGAACAACAGGTTTGTGTATTCTTGGTTTCTAGTTTTATTTTTGTTGTATTTTCATTTTCATATTTTAGATTATTTCAGTTTGCTCTCTCTCTTTGTTTGTTAATCCTGTGTTTTTTGCTATTTTCTGGTCATTTTTTGAGCAGGTCCTCCGGTGATTTTTACCGAACAACAGGTTTGGGCATTCTTCGTTTCTAGTTTTTTTTTTTTTTTTTTGTTATTTCATTTTCACATTTTGCATTATTTCGGTTTTTTAATATTTTTAGGATTGAATGTAGCTCTTGTAATTTAATGATTTTTGTAGGCATACAATATGTTTCAGTCACTGACAGTTTTTTTTATAACTTGTCCGGTTATGGGACATAACTTGACGAGTTATGGTCCACAATTGACAGGCTTTTTACATCACTTGTCGGTTGTGCACTTTAACGTGACAGTGTTCCTGCAATATGTTTGTAGGCATGCAATTTGTTTCAGTCATTGTTGCTTATAGGGGAAAATGGAGTCTAGAAAACCAATATACAAATTTTGGTTTTCAATCAGTTTTTATTCCGGAGGATGCTTCTTTGAAGTTTTTATAGGAGTGTTTATGTGAGGAGCTGCATCTTGAGTTGATTAGTTTTAATTCTGGTGTTCATTCTTTATTACTTTTTGTGGGAAGGAAGTTGAAGGATCCAATTGAAATGGTTTCGGAGCTAAAGAGGGATGATGATGTTAAGTTGTTTTTAAACATGGTTCGACACAATAAGGAAGCTCTTGGATACCCGTTGGTAATAGATTTTGTTAGTAGCTCCATTAGTGTAGCGAGATCTACTTCTTCTTCATCTTGTTTTATGAGTTCGAGAGATGAGGTGTCTTCTTCTAATGTTGATGGTTCCGTTTGTCCATTTAAAGATGATATTTATGTTGCGATGAATAATATTTTGATTGAAGATTTGGATATTTCAAAGCTGCCTATGTCATTTGATGTGAATGTAGGCAATCAATTCATGAGCAAGTCAGTTCCCAAGAAACTCATGCATGTAATTGCTATTAGGAGGCATTTTGAGTTTAAATCTGAAAGATCTAATAATTCATTTTATGTTTTGGTTTGTAAGAATAAGAATTGTACTTGGAAGATGCGTGCTGCTAAGGTTTCAAATGGTAATGTTTGGGCAATGAAGAAGTATGTTAAGGAACATACTTTTTCACTTGATGAGAGGAAGTACAGTGGAGTCGTATGCTTCCATTCCTTTTCAGTGCAATGTTTTCAAGGAGAAAAATCAAAGTGATTTTTTTATGTGTTATGCTTATGCTTCTATTTATCTTAATGTTTTGAAGGGGAAAAATCTAGGTTATGGTACCATAACTTGACAGGTTATAGTCCATAACTTGTCATGTTGTCGGATAAGTTGACAAGTTTTTGTTAAAATTTGTCTGGTTATGAAGCATAACTTGACAGGTTATGATTCATAATTGACAGTTTTTTTTGCATAACTTGTCCGGTTATGCACAATAACTCAATTAATTTTTTGTAGATATTAGAATGTATAAATAGTTATTGTACTTTGGTGCCGTGTATAAATAGTTATTTTTAATTTTTTTTGTTTTGTTTTTTATTTGTAGGCTCTGTGACTTCTTATGAGCTTGACAATGATGGGCGGTTCAAGTATTTTTTTTTTGTGCTTAGGGGCTTCTATTCATGGTTGGCGCCATTGTAAGCCTGTGATCTCAGTTGATAGCACCTTTTTGAAGAATGAGTTTTCTGGGACATTGCTTCTCTCTACAGTTTTAGATGTTGATAATCATATTTTTCCGCTTGGTTTTGTAATTGTTGATTCGGAGACCGACTCCTAGTGGGAATGGTTTTTTGAAAGGCTTAAGGAGGCTATCAGAACTCGCGAAGAACTTGTTATTGTTTCTGACCGAAAGAGTAGTATTCCTAAAGCAGTTGAGAAGGTTTGTCCTGATGCTTCTCATAGATTTTGTATGCAGCATTTACCTAGAAATTTGAATTCAAATTTTAAAGGTGTGCATGTGGATGCTATATTCTATCGTTGTGCCAAGGCATACTGTAAGGAAGACTTTGGTTACTTCATGCGTCAATTGGAGGCAGTGCGACTAGCTATTCGAAACTATTTGCCACAAGTAGAGGTTGAAAAGTGGGCACGTGCTCACTTTGAGAGGAAGAGATATGATGTCGTGACGACTAATATCTCCGAGTCATTGAATAATGTCTTAATGAATGCTAGGGAGTATCCTATTGAAGCTTTAATTGAGCATTTCAGATCCCTCTTGCAAAGATGGTTCTATGAACGTCGAAATAAGGTGGATCAGACTTTTACATACTTGACTAAACATGCAAATAAATGCATTCGTGATTGGGAAAAGATTGCACGTTACTTATCTGTAAGTTGCTTTTGTTTCAA